CTATTCCCTGGCTTTCAGCACTGTGTGATCTGTGCTGAGTCAGTGTGCATCACACTGTGTTGGTCATGTTGCGGTTGTTGTTGTTATCCATTATTGTTTTTGTTGGTTTCTACTTTTTGGTGTCCTGTTATGTAATCTGTTGCTATGTGCTTGTTCTGTTTGTCCCTGTACAGCACTTGGGTGTGCTTTGTCACTGTTTAAAGTGCTTTATAAATAAATTGGTATGGTATGGTATGGTATGGTATGGTATGGTATGGTATGGTATGGTATGGTATGGTATGGTATGGTATGGTATGGTATGGACAACAGTGGATAACAAACTGTTTTTCAATTGTAAAACAAACAAACAATTAAAAAAACAAAATTGTCTGAATCATTAGTGAATGTGTGTTGTTGTTGTTGTTGTTGTTGTTGTAGTTGTTGTTGTTGTTGTTGTTGTTATCAGTGTCTTATCATGTTGTGCTGTGGTCCAGTGTGTCCACAGACGATGTGTGTGAGGGTGGCCATGTTTGGAGGTTGCTGTGTTGAAGCTCCATGGATGAGCCTCTCTGCAGCTCTCAGCACCTTCACTGAGCTGCTCTTGTTCTTCACAGGTAGAAGGTGGGAGCTCTCGTCAAATCATCATCTCCAGCATCATCTTGTTCATGCCAGGCTTTTCATCCACTGACCACACACACCTGCAAACATCAGGGGACCAGTTCAACACATCTGGAAGGAAACCAGTGAGATTTTAATACGACCATCATGATATGATGTCATGTGGGGGAGTGGTGGAGCAGAGGTTACAAGATGGGCCTGTGATGGGAAAGTCGCAGGTTCAACTCCCGGTACCGTCAACATCAAAATGAGGTGGAAAAGGTGAAGCACACACACCTGCCTCCACCCTCATTGGCCCCACCCTGGGCCCCTGAGCAAGGCACTCAACCCCCACCACCTGCTCCTAAACAGGTCTCTCTAGAAAATGAGTTCTCGTGACTCAGTGAGACTTCCTGGATAAATAAAGATCAATGAAAAATAAAAGTTTAAAATAGAAATACTCACACCATGAGGTCGAGGTTGTGTGTGTGACGTGCACGTTCCTGAGAGTGTGTGTGTGACGTGCACGTTCCTGAGAGTGTGTGTGACGTGCACGTTCCTGAGGTTGTGTGTGACGTGCACGTTCCTGAGAGTGTGTGTGTGACGTGCACGTTCCTGAGGTTGTGTGTGACGTGCACGTTCCTGAGAGTGTGTATGTGACGTGCACGTTCCTGAGGTTGTGTGTGTGACGTGCACGTTCCTGAGCGTGCACAGACAGAGCAGCTGCAGCTTTTGTTCACTTCCTGTAGTCCTGCAGTTTTCAAGCTGAAATGAAAAAACATCATGAAGATGAACTTTACAGTCTCTAGTTACCTGTTCATATAAACACATGGAGGGGTCTCACCTTGAGACTCACAATAAAATATGTAACTTTATGAACTCTAATGAACTTATAATGATGCTCCTACTCTCTGAAGGTGAACCCATGGTACCACACCATCTCTCAGTCGGACAGTCTGACCAGTTTGATCAAAATCCTCCAGTTTAAAATCCTCACTGCTCAGATGAATCCTCCTCAAAGATACTTCCTCCTCTTCCTCACATCTTGTTCTTTGGGAAACCTTCAATATGAAAACAGGACATTTGTGTCTTCACAAAAAAATACTTAACTAACATACATACAAAAACAACTTAAACAAAACTCCAGCTCTGATGCATATCTGTTGATAATGAACCAAAGCTGCTGAAATAGTGAGTATGATTGTTAGCAAAATATTCCTGTCATCAGATCTCAGTCAGCTTCATTGCAGCTGAACACCGTGTTACACTGAACATCACATCAGCTGGTGGACATAAACACAGTACAGTAATATTATATTCACAAAATACTAACAATAATATGTTCATGTTACTGTGAAAAGTTATCCCCCGAGACCTGACGTCAACAGTCCGTCGATCTGAACAGAAATAAGCTGTGAAGTGCTGAAACATCTTCTGCTTTAACTGAATAAGGACGACCGCTCCAAGATGGCGGCCAAAATTCCTCCGCCGCAGCAGCCGATGAGGCATCTAGTGTTTATATCTATGCCTCAGAGGATGACGTGTCACCAAAGACCCGGAAGTGTTCAGTTGGTCCAACATGGCGTACCAGACGCTGCAGCAGGAGTATTTACAGATTCCTGTTGTCACCAGAGCTTACACTACGGCCTGCGTCCTCACCACCGCTGCAGTGGTAAGACCCAACAGAACCGGGCTGGCTCGCGGTTCCGTTCTCTGTGCCCCACGCTGCTGTTTTGGAGGAGAGACGTGTCTGAAGTTGAGTGTTCAGGGAATTAGCTGCACGATTTAACCAGAGCTACACGGAACCGGGTCAGAACCAGAAGCTTTAGTTTACACCGTTACCGAACCTTGTGAGTTGTGTGTGTTGTGACGCCGACAGGTAATTTCTACCTGTTTCCGTCTCAGCTTGCCGTCGGTATCTGAGGATTCAAATCCGTTTATTTTCTGCTCTCATCTGGAAACAGAACCCCCTTTCCCCCCAATATAAATATAGATTTAAATAAAAATATGTAAAACACAAATTCAACCTCAAACACAACGCTGAGGTGGAAAGACATCAGCAGTGACCGGTGTTCACGCAGTTCAGCATACATGCAGTTAATACGCATGCGCGCAATCACAGGTCTGGGTTAGGTTTAGGGAGCGTTCACACCAGCCCTGTTAGTCCGCTTTAATCGAACTCTAGTCCGTTTGCCTACAAAGACTCGGGGGCTGCATGTTGTGCAGCAGCTCTCTCACTTTCATTCTGACTTCTTGCTTTTGAAAACTTTAATTCCTTTTTATTTTGGATGTAAATCGCACTTTTCGTATGATTGTTTCCTCTGGTATTGGATGCTGTGCAGCTGGAAGGATTTTTACTGAAAGCGTTTTACTTTTGGGCATTTGTTATCATGCATAACCATGGCAACAAGGTGTTTTTTTTTAACAACTAGGAGTAGCTGATTAACATCTCAAAAGCTCAATATCTCAGCTACAGCCCCAAATCTCAAATGAGTTGAAAAGGAGGTGCCGTGGATTAATTCCCATCAACCTGGCAGCGGTGCTTGGGTACCTGACTGCCGAGATCCTGGAGCTGGTGGGAAACTAGGTTTGTGACAACTGGAGGACAGGGATCAAACCCCGGCACCTTCAGCTGTCTGTCCGTGGCGACAATGAGCTCAGCAGACTGCTGGGAGGAGGGACCATCGCTCAGGGAGGAATTCTGCCTGGCATTCAGGCAGTCCTGCTGCCCAGGAGGACCGAGAGGCCCGCCGGATCTGACAGCAGCTGGATCTAGGTAGACGGATCTAGGGGTGCACCGATTTATTGGCCCCGATTTCCTTAATTTTTGGAAATTGGCTGATACTTGCATGAGAAGCTGATTTTACCGTTTTTTTTGTTTTTTTTTAGTTTTAACAATTGTCTAAACTTCCTTTATATTTCAGAGAACTACCTTATAGCCAGTTAAAACAAGTTTGTATTGTTTCAAGGATGTCAAAATCAGAATAAACTTTATTATCATTGCACCTAGATACAATGAGAACATGTACGTACAGCCCCCTCCTGTTTACTCTGCTCACATATGATTGTGCAGCTACCCATCCAGGCTGTCACATTGTAAAGTTTGCAGATGATACAGCGGTGGTGGGATGCATCACAAACAATAATGAGTCCAGCTACAGGCAGGAGGTGGAACACCTGGAGAGCTGGTGCAGAGAAAATAACCTTCACATCAATGTGAAGAAGACAAAGGAGATGATTGTGGACTTCAGAAGGAACAAAAACACCTACACCCCCCTGAACATAAGAGGATCTGTGGTGGAAGTGGTCTCAGCTACAAGTACTTGGGTGTACACCTGAACAACAACCTCAGCTGGAGCAACAACACCACCAGCCTGATCAAGAAAGCTCATCAGAGACTCTACTTCCTCAGACGGCTGAGGCGAGCTGGTCTGGAAGCTCAGTCCTCACCTCCTTCTACAGGTGTGCAGTGGAGAGCATCCTGTGCTCGAGCATCAATGTGTGGCATGGAGGCTGCACAGCTGCAGAAAGAAAAGCTTTGCAGAGAGTGGTGAAGGCTGCACAGAAATCTGTTGGAGTCAGCCTCCCCACCATCACAGACATCTACACCTCTAGATGCAGGAAGAGGGCCACCTGCATCCTGAAGGACCTCACTCACCCAGCACACACACTTTTTGTCCCGCTCCCCTCAGGAAGGAGGTTGAGGAGCATTAAGTGTAGAACCACTAGACTGAGGAACAGCTTCTACCCTGAGGCTGGGGGAGTGGTGGCGCAGAGGTTAGAAGATGGGCTTGTGATCGGAAAGTTAGAGGTTCACCTCCCGGTACCGTCAACATAAAAAAAAAATGTGGGTGAAAAAGGTGAAACACCCACACCTGCCTCCACCCTCGTTCTCCCCACTCTGGGCCCCTGAGCAAGGCCCTTAACCCCCACCATCTGCTCCTAAACGGGTCTCTCTAGAAATGAGTTCTCGTGGCTCAATGAGTCTACCTGGATAAATAAAGGCTAAATGGAAAATGTTACACTCATGAATCTCTAACCAGGAAAATCACTGTGAAAAATCACATCATGTTGCTGCTGATCTGTTTCATGTTGCTGCTGATCTGTTTCATGTTGCTGCTGATCTGTTTCAATGTTGATGTGTTCATGCGTGCACATCTGTTCACACAGACTCATGTTCATGTTTGTGCTGATGTTCAATGTTTTATGTTATGAGTGCTTAGTGTATATTTAGTTGATGTTTTTCTTAGTTCATATCTTAGATGTTATTACTGTTTTTCTTATACATTTTATTGTTGGATGTAACTGGGACCCTGTGTACATAATTTTGTTCCACCACATGTACCACATGAGGCGCGAATGACAATAAAGAATCTCGGACCGCAAGATGGGCGGAGTGCACGAAGCTGCTACTATGTAAGCGCGGCCCTCTTATTCTTATTCAGAATAATATTTTGCTTAGATGAGAAAAGGGAAGAAAACATGAGGAGAGACGGTATAAAAAAAGATCTCTCACTCCGTGTCCTAGACAGGGCACGATTTGAGGCATCAAACAAACATAAATAGATGTTATACATTTACATTTAGGTCGGTGAAGACATTGAATTTTTTAGGGAAAGTTGTAGCATAGTCCAGATAAGAGGTGACATTCATAGGGCTGAGTACCGAACCGAAGTTCTTTTTTGGCACCGACTGAACTGCACCGGTCGGTGTATGTATTGAAACGTCACTCTTCTTTCGGTGTCAAGTTTCACTATTGGCTGTAACGTGTCACGTGGTTTCAGCATGCAGGCAGGTAAAACACCAGACATATGACAAACAGACTACACCCAGATTACACCCAGAGCTGTATAGAGCTGCCGTACCTAATCTATGTATAATTATGTCTATGGTGCTGGTGACGCCCACAGACGGGTTCACATGTGTAGCGCGACAACACGTGCTTCAGAAAGTTGCTCCGTGTTTTTCTGCGAGGAGAGAAGAGTTCATTTGCCTCCCCCCTCCTCCTCCCCCCTCCTCCTTCTCCTCTCACCATTAAAGTCAGCCTGTGAGAGCCTGAACATCCTGATTCATTATCTCCACGACCGGACTCTTCATCAAAGAACTCCGAGGACGTCTCTGTGAGTTTCAGCTGGTGAGTTACGTTTGTTAGCGTAACTGCAGCTTAACACATACAACGCGGTGAAATAAACTATGATCCATGTAACGCTAAATTTAACATATTAGTGTGTAAATTTATTTTATCTACGTAGCTAGCTAAACTCAGACGCTAACTAAAGATTGACAGTAACATAAATCTTAGCTTGTAAAAATGCTCATCCTTTCAGTCAGCTGCTTAAACAGTTCACTAATGTTCACTGTTTATGTTAATGTTCTCCTCACAGGAGGTTCTGACCCAGATGTGAGGACAGGCAGAAAAGTGAGGTGGGGGCCACAGGACAGTCAGAATTTGTTGTTAAAAATTTGCTGCTTTTTCTACAGTGGAGCTGCATGCTGGAGGTAAATTAAACTTTAAAGGGTTTTGTTGACCAGTTAAACCTTTATCTCTCAGCCTAGATAATGTTTTTTGATCAATAATAACACAACCATGTTATTGTTGATGTTTTGTTCTCATGTCCATTAGGGAGATGATCAGAGCCCTAAACCCCAGAGAACAACAGAGAAGATTCAGGCAGAGACACAGGGGTGCAGATGTCTGCATCAACCCTAACATCATTGAATCCAGTGACCTGCTGGTGGGATGTGAGGGACAATATGTCAAACTGACAACCAGGAGTGAACATGTTCTACTGCTGGAGACACCATCAGCCAGGAGCAGCTTGTTTGTGTCCACAGAAAGCAGACATGTTGATGTTTCTGAAGACAAACTGTTCAGTGAAAAGGTCCTCAGTGTGTAGCAGTGACCATTAGACACTGACGTGTCACTGGTTTGTAACTGGTCTTTGAACTGGAAATTATTTGTTTATTTTTATGTAAGAAAACTGCTAGGAATAGAAAAATACCAAAGTAAAAAAATAAAACTCACAATATGCACTGTAATGTGTAACGTAATTTTATTCTTGTTAGAATTAATAGTAATTACAAAATTGGTACCGAAAAAAGAACCGTCCAGGAACCAACACCGAAGTGAAGGTACCGACACCGGTACCGATACCGATTTTGTTTTAGAAAGGTACCGAGCCCTAACTATGGAATGGATTTCCTGAACGGCGGCGTGTCTCATGAGCCCAGAGTAACAAGACCCGCCTCACGTTCAGGAAGTCCAGTTCATAGTTTGCAGCTACAAGGTGAGGGCTGAGTTAGCAGCACTGTGGCTAACAGCTAACAAACTTTTCATCTAAACATGTCCGCTGTGGAAATATTTTACACTAAAC